ATTTTGGAAACAAAACCCTAAAAACCACAAAAGAGAGAAATTGGGGACTAGAGACGGGGAGAAGAAGCGATAGGGGGGAGGAGGGGGTGGGGTCAACTACAACCAAATATAGGAAAGGCGAAACAATAAAAGAAACCATTTTGGAAACAAAACCCTAAAAACCACAAAAGAGCTGTAGGCCTATGTAGTATAATGATGTATGGCCTTTAATTGTGAGCTGTACTTTTGGGCAACGTACGTGGGCAGTACACGTATTCGTACTACAGTGAGAAATTGAGTCGCTGTTGCCATGGCTTATCTACCACAGACAACTTTTCCTGTACTTTATCGCGGATCTTATATAACAAAAGTAGCCAAGTCTGTGTACAGACAGCTGCCTCAGACGGTGACATTTTTCGTTCGCACAGACTATGCAGCCTATAAAAACGAAAAGCTTTATTGCTATTAGGCTACCAAAGTCACAGAAATTGTGTTTTGGTTTTGTAAGCAACCTCGTTTTGACTGAACAGCGGTTAACTTCACAATGTTATTACATCCTACAACGAACGACAAGAACAAATTTAATGTATGAAACAATGGAATGAGGTTGGAAAAGGATGCAAAGAGGGAGCTAAATACTGGAATAAAGATCTCAGGCCAAGATCTTTTTCTTTAGGCCTAAAAGGCGTTAAATAAAGTAACAGGCCTAGAACAGTGTGTATGACGTAGAAAGAACGTGTGTACAACAGGCAATGGATTCTTAGAAATTATCTCCCCTTTCTACTTTCTTCATTATTCACACAAACAAAATGGCGTCGTCTGTGTCGGCTGTCCCTTGCGCAGTTCCCCTGAATCAGCTGTTGTAGCTGTACTTAGTTGCTTCTGATGTTGGACAGACACTCGTTTTGAAGAGGTATGTCACAATTTTCAGGATCATGGTTTCCTAAAGGCAATTAAGTCTTTCTGTTACAAGCTGGAGCTTTTTCTTTGCGTCACACTTTAACGTGGAGTTTTCTTTCTTTACTTTGAAGCCAAGTCCCAAGAAACTAGATCTAGACATCTAGATTTAGATCTAATCTAGAGTAGAGTCTAGAACTAGAAGATATCTCTAAATCTAGAATCTAGATCTAGATCTAGATCTATATCTAGACCAGAGAGAATCTAGATCTAGACTTAGATCTACTTCTTGTCTTGATTTTAAAGCACACCTTTTTCACCATCAACCTCCTCTGTCTGTCTCTATTATTACTGTCTATATTTTTACTGGAAGTGGCTATTCTCATCCGGGGTGAGAATAGAAAAACGATCTACCTCTCACCCCGGGTGAGACTTGCCAGCGTAGGCTATTCTCACCCGGTGCGAAACAAGACCTGCTTTTCCTCATTTTGGAATACTGTTTATCGGTGTGGATGATCAAATTGATAAAAGTAAAAGCCAAGAAAAAATTACGTTATAACACAAAAGTAAGCTAATTTGATCGTCTTCAAAGATGCTATGGCTATTTCACTGTTCGAATCGAGCCGAACTACGCGGGTCGCCATTTTGTTTTTACCCGGAAGTTCTCGCAAGATCTACTCCTCCCCCCCCTCTCTCTCTCTCTCTCTCTCTCTCTCTCTCTCTCTCTCTTTCTAAATACTGTCTATCAGTGTGGACGATCAAATTGACCAAAACAAAGTTAAAAAATTATGTTAAAACACAAAAGTAAATTAATTTGATTGTCTACAAAGATGCTACGGCTATTTAACTTTTCGAGTCGAGCCAAACTACGCGGGTCGCCATTTTGTTTTGACCGGAAGTTCTCGCGCTACTCCTCTCTCTCTCTCTCTCTCTCTCTCTCTCTCTCTCTCTCTCTCTCTCTCTCCACTGCCCACAGACAAAATTGTACGCTTTTAGTAGGCTACAGTTGTTATGGAACGTTTGTTCACGGCACAGAATTCTACAATTTTTCTGTTATCACAGTGTAGAATTCTGTGGGTTAGGGTGAACGCAAAATTTGTTGGCCTAGATCTAGGCTATAACGGTGAACGCGCACCGGGTGAGAATAGCCAAAAGACTCGCCTGCACTATTCTCATCCCGGGTGAGAATAGAGGTGGCCATTTTTACTTGATCTTTAGACTAAAGACTTTAGTAAAGATCACCCAACTAACATACAAAGATCACCCAACTAACGTACAGACTGCAGGCCTATCTATGGCCAAAGAAATAAAAGTTGTAGATTGTAGAAAGCAGTGGGGACAAATTTAGGTAAATTTTTACTTTCACTCCCGCACACAGATGCACTGTTTCAGGGGTCAAACTGCTGTACTGTTTGCTGCAGATCACACATAAAGCCACTAAAACTGTCGCAAAGCAATTATTTTCAAGACAATTTCAAATCTAACTGTAAAATATCAAACTATGGGTAAAAACAGGGGGGCATGCCCCCCTGTAACCCCCCAGATTTTCTTTTACCCCAGTGGGGCAGGCCCTCCTGGAACCCCCCCGATTGGTCCAAAGCATGTCTATCTCGGTTAAAAACAATCAAATATTTCAAAAACTATAAATTTGGGACGGAAATGAAGTTGATATTCGTGTTCAGTGCATCAATATTTAGTACAAAATAGACAATTGGTAGCTGAGTGTGAGACGGGAAAGTAAAAAAATACCCAAATTTCATATGGCTCCCCCAGTTCAGTGATACAATTGAAAGCCTTGTAAATTTGCTGATCTTACTCACTTACTCACTTTGGGGGGGGGAGGGGATGAATACTCGGCAACGGAGGAGTTGAGGCACTGAGTAGATCTACAGTCGAACCTGTGTAAGACGGAATCGCAAGGGAGCCAGAAAAAAAAATAATTCTGTCTTAGACACGGGAATTTAGGGGGAGATGAAGGGGGGGGGGGGAGAGGGTCAAAGGCCCAACCGATGGGATCAAGGATCGCTTGTCCGATAGGCAAGCAGTGGTCAAAACTTCACACTTCTCAATTGCTATCCTGTCTGATAATGACATCATGCGTCAGTCATACTTTTATCTAATTACCACCAGTGCTTGCCTTTCAAAGGACCGCTGTTTGACCTATTAAAATCAGAAACGTTTGAATATCTCCTTTGCCTCCACCCTTAACCCCACCCATCGGTGTAACAAGGCGCAGTCAACCAATGCCATTCCTTATTGTTATGTAAAACAACGATTCAAGGAACTCTTTTCTCAATGGCCGTACGATCAGGGCAGCAGGCATTGATCAGTCTAATTTCACTTATGACTACCCAGAAAGTTTCCATAGTGGTTTGCTACTCGAGCACTCTCATGGGCAGTTGTAAAATTTCACACCCACACTAGTCTACACTGAATCATCTGCATGATTGCTCAAGGCTCACATGATGGGGTAACATATACCCACAAATTACACACCCCTACTCCCCTTCCTCGCCCAGCAGCATGGCCATGGCGTAAGTTTAGAGCTGGCAGAACCAAACTTGCGAGTTTTGTTTCAAATCAGGGCTGAGCCGGCAAAGTATTTTCAGTCTTAGACAGGTGAAAGCCTCGGAAGGGAGTGGATTTTTCTTTCCGTTTCTGCTTTGGACAGGTTTCCGTTTTATACAGGTAATTAAAGAGGAATGTGTCAAGGGGGGAGCGGGGAGATTCCGTTAAGACAGGTTTCCGTTTTATACAGGTTTCAGTTTTATACAGGTTTCAGTTTTAAGGCAGGTTCGACTGTACTGAGAGTGAGAGAGAAAATGAGAAGTGGAGATCACACATTCACAGGTCACTGTCGGACAGAATTTTCGAATGATCCATCCTATTCTGTGTGAGTGACACTGTGTGTATTATAATTGATCTAATTGGGAGAAATGTTATTTTACAAGATGATGTTTGTTCACAGTTATGATCATTGTCAAGCAGATCTAGATCTTCTATAGATACTTGAGATAACAAAAGAAAATGACAATGTCAATATTTAATATTGCTTGTTTTCATTTCAACGGGAACAGGACTAATTTGATTCTTTACCAGAATTTTCCAAATAGGCCCTAAGACCAATTACTTTTGATTGCTGTACTGTACTTAAAAAAAGAAAAACAACAAAAAACAAAAGCGGAGGTCATAGAGAAAAATGGTTTTGAGGGTGGGGAAGGTTTTTATGTTATAGATTCTATATTAAATTTCTCAATTTCAGGCTGTCAGTCACAGTCATAATCTTTTTCATAAATCACGTCATAAAAACCTATTTTGGTGTGTAGTGGGTCAGTCTTACAGTGATCAAGTTCAGTTGTTCGCAGTACATCGCAGCACTGCCATTACTCCTTTTTATTTATATTTTTTGTCCAGGTGGAGAGATCAGCACCTGTGTGTGTAGTCCTACTTTAATGGACTGGACCTGATTGAAATACTAATAGTACTATAGAGACCTCAAGGCTATTTTAAACCAAACTGAGAAAATATAATATTTTTGATAGTTCAACTTCTGACAAGTGACAAAGATTCGAACACGGGACCTTTGAATGAGAGGCGAACACCTTTTAAAACCTCTAGGCCACGAGAGCCCACTTTGTATATTTTACAGAATTTATAGAATGTTGTACAGTCTTTGAAGTTGTAACTCATTGCCTTTTTTTGAAAGGTTTTTCTCTCATTAATGTCTTTATGTCCAGCCAGAGCCGCTGTACTGATGAGCAGCTGGCAGCAGCTTGGGCACATTTATTTGTGACAAACAAAAACATGTCAATGTCAAATTACTTTTCGGCCTCTATGCCTAAAACGGTATCTTTTAACTGGAGTCATTCATTAGACGGAGTATTGTCAAAATATGTTCACTTGTTTTGGTTTAATGACTGATTGAGTGGTGTTCTATGTCACTTTTAGATTTTGTACCGAAAGAGGACCCCGGCATAGTGGGTGTATATCCCCTTCTGAGTTTAGAACAGTTCTAAGAGAAACAGCCGGAACAAAAAACACATCGATACAACCTTTTAAAAATCTGGTCTGATCCCAACTTTCTGAATGAGTCTGATTACATTTTGCTCCTTTTGTGTTCACTTTTGAGAGAGTGAATAATTTGATGGTCTTGAGCTCTGGAGGGTGTGGTGGGTGGTATTAGAGGGGTTTTGCTCCATTAAGATTATCAAATGCTTATATATAAATTATATCGTAGTCATAATTTTAAAGAATAATTTCTGACAATTTGAAATGGTCTAATAAATTTATAGCATTCTTCTTCTCTTTGCTTACTATCACTACTTATTTAGTTTTACTTTTTTGGTAAGGGGATCATGTTGTATTTCTCTCAGTCTGAGTCTGAGCAGTACCCATCAATGAATTTGATACTTGGGAATTTCTTTCATGCTTTCACACCGACACATGCACGCACGCAGGCACGCACACACAGAGTTTCTATCTATCTGTCTTGCTTCTTCCTTGCACTAAATGACTGTTATTGCATCAATGTGCTTTCCTTTACTCAACCTCAAAAGTAATTATTTTTGTGTTCCTCACTAAACTTGGATTAATATTCTACTTTCAGGAAAGTCTTTGGAGAAGGACTGCCAAATTATGTCAGTCATATCAGATACTGTTCACATCAATGGAGGCCTTCACAATCAACCCCTTGGAGCCGCCTTCAAGGGGGAGGGAGGTGTTGTCGTGGGGCAGGATTCCCTCGGAGCACCCCACAAACTAGCTGAGAACAACGAAACCTACAAGAACAACAACCTACTCGGCCCGTCGCAGAATGGCGGTCACTCTGACACGTGTGGTCAGGATGCCAGCGGTGACGCACACGCCGAGGAATCTCCGGAAATTGACATTATCATAAACAATGTTGTGTGCACATTCGGCACTCGCTGCCACTTAAATCTCAAGAGAATTGCCATGGAGGGGGCCCATGTTGAGTACAAAAGAGAGAATGGGGTAAGTGACAATGTTGTTCGTGTCCAGTAAGTCGTGCATCGGCGTCGTCATATTATTATGATTACCTGACTGAGAAATAACTTTAGAAGTGCTGCTTAAGTTAAATTATGGTGTCAGTAATTTGATGTTTATAGCCATTAAGTGCAGCAAGTTCCTCTCTCTAAAAACAAATAAATGAATGGTTGGAGGATGCTGTTGGTAGGAGCTCCTACTTATAATTTCTTTTAGTGTTTCTTCGGTCTATTAATCCTATTTCCGTACTCATTAACTATCATAGCTTGAGATCACCCCCCCCCCATCCCCGAGGCGATGCCACTTACTGTAAGTGTCTTTAGGCCGTTTCCAAAGGGACATTTCTCATTCATACACAGTAGAATTGTAAATGGGTTGATTCATCTATGTCAAGCTCATAGTCATAACTGTGCCTGATGTACAACAGGGAACTACTGCTTTTTCTTTCCTAATTCTTACTATTGTCATTTTTCCTCTACTTCTTTTGTATGTTTGTCACACTCATGTGACCCACTATTTCCGGGGTGCTTTGATAGTCGAAGCAGGTTTTGTGCTGTTGAAGCTAGATGGGTGAGCAGAGTAAGTCTGATTCCCTGTAAGGACTTCTTCTGTTAACATCCACCCCTTGGAGCTCATATGACCTTATGCAGTTTCAAGCGCTGTAAAACCTGTACTAAAACTAAAAATAGCTTGAGATCCAGAGTGTGCAAATGTCCAGAATACTGGGCAAAGTCTCTCGGCAGTCTGATACAAATAACTACTTCAAAATATAAATCAAGGCATTGATATGAAGTCACAGTTGAGGATATTTGGAGGGCTTCTTCTTACCCTCTGCTGTTTCTGTCTTTCCGTCCTGCTCTTCTGCTGCACTAAATGACCATTATTGTGTCGATGTGCGTCTTTTTACACAAATGGAAACTGAAGTTCAACTTTCATTGGTGCAAGAAACTTCTCACTTTGTGATGCATGCCTCACAGCCGGCCCCTGAAACAATTCTTACAACAGGAGTGTACATTTTTCTTGTGGCATGCTTCCTCTTCTCTCACTCTAGAAATTTGTCTGGTGACCCTTTTATACTAATACAGTCAAACCTGTGTTAAACGGCCACCCATTGTCAAGGAGAAAAGTGGCCGTATAGCACAGGTGGCCGTCTTACGCAGGACTGATCAAAATGGAGAAAGCAAACAAATTCGAAAGGGTTTTTGTGTTTTTTTCTTCGAAAAATTGTGGTGGGTGGTGTAAGAAGGGTTTTTTGTGTTGTTTTGTTGTTTGTTTGTGTAAGCTTTCTTTGTTGATTTTGTGCAAGGGTAAAATAAACGAAATGTAATGTAAGTAAGCTGATGAAGACCGAGTGCCTTGGTAAAACAAACACATGGGTCGCTACCACGCGGAGAACGAGCAATGCTTCTGTCGCAAGGTCAAGTCAAAAGTCCATTGTTACTTTGTTACAGATTAGGTGTAACAAAACAGTGACCCGTCACCTCACACACGATTTGTGCATTAGTTGTGGGTGGGGCTTATAATAGGTTATGACGGATCATGCTTCCCTCACCAGCAGTTGAAAATTTATTGTTAGGGCTACCAGTTGGTCAACTTGGGTAAACATTCATTGGAGGGACTAACAATAACGACAGGTCCACAGCGTGAGGGGCCGATTCAAAATTTATAACAAAGCATAGGTGGAATGGGTACTCGGCCATAGACAACGAAAGATCTTGTCAGTATGTTAGCGTTTTAGCGCATATAAAAATGGCAGCTTGCATTGTATACTTCCCAGGAAGTTGAGATTGTAAAGCGCATAGAGCTTGCTGTTTGAACGGGAATTTGCGCTATACAAATGGCATCTATTATTATTATTATTATTATGATTAATATTATTGTTTATTATCATGTAATGTTTGTAGTATCATTAGTTTGTATGGGGTAAGTTGTAAGTGGTAATGTTTCTCATCGGGGCACTCAGCTCATGTAGTGTGTCCTGGGTGAGAAATAATACTTGGGAGTAGATAACACACACACACATTTTTCTAAAACGAAAGACAAAAATAATATAGGAACATTTTTACAGCTGGCCAAGTAAAAAATGTTATGTTTTCCAGTCGTTTTCGTTTGCAATGCACTGAAATATTTCTCACATGTGTCACTTAATGATCTTCTCAATAATTTAAAAAAAAAAAAAAAATGATCTTCTCAGATGCTCAACATGAAGCTGCGGAGGCCCAACGCTACTGCGACAATCTGGTCATCAGGAAAAATTACGTGCACAGGTTCTACAAGGTTGGTGTTTCTACAGGGCAGTGGGGTTTTTTTTAATTTAAAAAAAAAAAAATTTGTCTATTGATAGTGGGTGGTTGGCGGGTGCTCTGGTGTAGCTTGCTTCTTCTTTCCTATCAAACATCTATCGTCATTATCTCCCCTTCTTTTTTATGTTTATTGCTCTCTTGTAACAACTCTAATCTTTTGGCGCTCATATGACCTTATGCAGTTGCGAGTGCCGTAAAACCTCTACTAAAACTAAAATGAAACTGTCTATTGATGTTTTAATCTGAATCAGTGATTAGTATGTAAAATACCGGCTCGAAAAAGGTACTAATAGAAAGGTCGGTTCATTTTCTACTAGAATAAAGTAATCGGCTTGGAATTATTTTGCTTCAATAGTTCCACAAAACTCCGAAAGCATGTGACCCTCCATGCGGGGAGCACTCGGTACACTAGAGTATAGAGCCAACTCCCTCGCCGCGCGGGGTGCGGTGCGGCGCCAGCGGGTCAGCGCTCGATGTTTTTTTTCGAAATGACAGATCGTCGTGTTTGAGGAAAAAAAAAAAAATTATTTAGATTAATAATGATCTCACAGTCTTGAAAAAAAATTAGGCTCCATATCTATGTTATGGTGATTGTACTCTGTTAATGTGGAAATGTTTGGTGCACTTAATACTCTTTTATTGTCTGTCAAACATGGGGTTGTAGCCGGTTATAGCCGGTTAGTGATTTTAGCAATATTTGGTCCTATAATTAAACAGCTGCCATTTTCTTAAAAATTGTCTGAGAGGTAAAAGAATGGTACATCCCCCGGGGCAGTGCCACTGACTGAAGTGTCTTTAGGCCATTCCCCCCGGGGCAGTGCCACTGACTGAAGTGTCTTTAGGCCATTCCCCCCGGGGCAGTGCCACTGACTGAAGTGTCTTTAGGCCATTCCCCC